CATACACACACACGATGTCATCTGAGACCCTGAAGGCTATAGAATCAGAGGCCTTCTGGGATAGAAGTACACTTCTACAGGCCAGGGAGCTACACTCCTTACCAAACTACTGGGGAAACTGAGGCTCCATGAGGGGTGGTGACTGCAGGGACACTGGGCATGCATGTGCAGAGATCTGGCTCCAGGGCCATGGCCTGCTGACTCTCATAACACTAACCCTACACACTTGCTTGGCACATGCTTGGCTCTTCCTCCACTCCATATGAGGCTGGGCTGGGGCTTCCCAGGAGCCTGTACCAGGCCTGGCCCCTTCAGGCCTTCCTGACTGAATGAGTGAGGGTATATGTTTAGTCTCTGGAGAAGGGAAACCTCACAACGCATCTCAGTGAGTGCACTGGAGGTGACAGAAGCCACCCTACCTCTACAGGAGCCAGCAAGTCCATTGTATTCTTCCCACACAAGGGCCCACCAGCCTGCAGCACACACAGGTGCTTGCTGGACTGGGCAGAGGCCACCACGGGGAACGGACAGTTCCACAGAGCTGGAGAGCCAGCAGAGTGAGTACTCAAGGGCCTAGGTTCTGTGCCTGCATGCTTTGGGCAAGGGAATTGCCCTGTCCCTTAGTTTACCCCCATGTATAATGGAAATATGAATAGCAACAAGCTTCTAGAACTGTTCTGAGAGCTAAGTTCAGAATGTATCCACCCATTTCTCTGAATGATGCCAGACACTTTGTGAACAGAGCTGCCGCTCTTGTCATCTGCAATCCCACAGTGGAAGCTCATCCTGAGCACAGGCCTGAGTCACTAGCCACAGCAGGCTCGAATCCCCGCAGCCCAGGGCTCATTAGACCATAGTTGCTGTGTGTGTCTCTGCCTCCCTCCTAGTTGAGACCTGTCCCTCCTAGCTATCATCTGGTCTTCCTTTGGATCTCTGGGGTCCTGGTATCTTGTCCTAGCCTCTGCCCTCCCTCTAACCAGATTTCTTAGGACTCAGGGACTCTGAATGTGGGCTGCCACCTGCCCATCCAGGACCCTGAGTGGTCTGGATAGCTCTTAGATAACAGGGACGGAGTAGTGTGTAATGTTCCCTCCTTGAATACTTGACCTCATGAACATTGCCTAAGGCACTGTCCGACACGACTCTGCCTCCACCAGTTGAACGCCAGTAAGGAGGAATGCACCTGCTTTTCTTCTGTGGGCCCAAAGGTTGGAGGCCTAGTGCTTCATAGACCTGAAGTCCACTCTGGTCTGGGTTTTTTCTACCCAGCTATGGGCAGAGTTCACTTGTCCACTAGCTGCTTGCTTGGTGACCACTGGTGACATTTCTCCTCACCAGGCATTGCTCGGACAATCTGGGAGTGTTTTTTCTAATGGATGGGATAGCTTAGCCCTGTCCCTGCCCCCAGCAAGAGGTTAACACACTCTTCTGAGATAGCACAGGTCACAGAAGCTGAGGTAGGACCCGCACTCCTAGCCGGTATTTCCAGAAGTATCTCTGCCCAGCGTCTGAGGGGGCTCTTCAGGTTGGAGGAAGGATGGAATTCATATAGAGCAAATCAGGAGGAGGCAGGGAAGTGGGGAGGAGAGCCTGGCAGAGGCCCAGAGGCCTGGCACCAAGGTCATGTCCCTTCCTTTCCATAAGGAAAGTTGTTCCCTGAAGGATGACAGTTCTGATCTGTCTGAGTCCACCCAGACGTTGTTCACACTTAGCAAGAAGGCTTAAAATGAACACCAGAAAAGGCTGCTTGGGGAAATTTCTCTAAGCCCAGGAGTCTGCAGGAGACAGAAGGACTCTGGGGCATTTTACATGTGGGGAAACTGAAGCACAGAACAAGGTCCCAGTTCTGTGATAAATAGCCCCTATGTGCCCTTCCTGCTCTCTAAGAGAGACAGAGGAGAACTAAACTCCAAGACACTCTTCTGGTATCATCTCTATGAAGCTAAGGACAAAGATGGCACCCAGGCTTCTCAAGGGTACAGTGGAACCTTACCCCAGCGGATGGTGTCTCTGACAGCTCTTATTTTACATGAGCAGTGCATACACATTGATTCCAAATACGTCTCTGTTTAATATATAAATATCTGTCTTAAAATAGTCGGAGTAAAATTGATGCTCCAAGGAAATGTCATGATGCTTTTTGTCATTCAACTACAAACTCCATTGTGAGGGAAAAAAATTAAGATTTCCTTTTAGACAGTTACCACGTGCCAAATGCTGTGCATGTGCATTCTACACAGCCTTACATTACATCTGCACTGGAATCTCTGAGGTGGGCACTACTATAGTCAGCTCTTACTATTAAGGAAACTGAAGCTCAGAGAGGTTGAGTAAGTTGTCCAGCAAATGAACTCCAGTGGGGAGGTACACTCTGGGGTCACCTCCACCATTTCTGTCTGCTCTGAGGCTTATGCAGAATCCCAGAGCCCATCTTCTCATCACTGGGGCCGAGAGTCTCAGCTATGAGGAATGGCTTTGGAACCCACAGGCCTGTGGGTCTTGAGGGGAAGGCTGAGGGCGTGATTGGACCAGGCCTATTGGACCTGGGCTGGTGGCTGGCAGTTCTTAGGAGATGCATTGGTAAAGGTGGACGTGGCTGTCACATTGCCTGGCTATGATGTTTATTTCCACCATTCCACAAGTCAAGAATGGCTGAAAGGGACCTGTGCAGGCTGGGGCCCGTCTCCCAGGCTGCTGGCCATCAGGAGGCCAGCATGACTGTCAGAATCACCTGAAAGCTCAAACCACAGTTATGCAAAAATACAGTGATGTGATAGTGATGTGATACAACCCATCCAACCCAAGGCCTCATGGAAGCTAGGCAATGCTCTACCAGAGTCACAGCCCAGCCTCACTGCATTGTTTTCCATGAAAAAATTAAACTCCTGACAAGTCTCTCATCTGGTATAGCTGAATTCTCTCCAGGCTGATGTCTTTTTCTTTATTTCAGAAGCACCCCAATTATCTCTGGCCTCCTCCATCAGCATGCAAACCCTTGAATCTTCTCATCTCCCTGTCCCTAGATGCAAGTAGAGCTGAGAAAAGCCAGGCATCAGTGGCTCACAATTGTAATCCAAGCTGCTCAGGAGGCTGAAATCTTAGAATCCCAATTCAAAGCCAGCCTGGGTAGAAAAGTCCATGAGACTCTTATCTCCAATGAATCACCAACAAGCTGGAAATAGACCTGTGACTCAAGTGGTGGAATGCCAGTCTTGAGCAAAAAAGCTCAGGGACAGTGCTCAGGCCCTGAGTTCCCGCCCCAGTACCCGCATATGGTCCCACATACACAAAGTAGGGCAGGACAAAGAGAAGATACCAGGCTAGTGCCTGGTACAAGCAGAACATCAGGACACTGCTAGCCGTGAGGCAGAAGAGCACTGTGCTCCGCCGACATGCTCCCTGGGACTGCCCATACCCTCTCAAGGTGTCCTCTGACCTCTGTCCTCAGCTGGATAATGGGGCTTAGCACAGTGTGTACTGTGGAGTTGTTGTGAAGATGTGTATGTCAGTCTAGACAAAGCACTGGGAAAGGGCTTAGCAAGTATCTCGAAATTGTAGTCCTGAGGTCTGATCTTGCTATTTCTTCTTGTATAGTCACCTACCTTCCCTTCCCTCCTTCTTCCCTCCCCACTTTCCTCCCTCCATCCTTCCTTCCCTCTCTCTTCCTCTTCCTCCATTTCTCCTTCTCCCTTTCTCCCTCTTTCTCCCTCCCCCCAGTGCTTTGTCTCTGTCTGTCTGTCCCCCTCCCTCTCATTTTGAGTCATAGCCTTGCCTGGCTTTGAGCTAAAGATTCTCCTGCTTCCACCTCCTGAGTGCTAGGATGACAAGTTAGCACCAACATGTCCAGCTCATCTGAGCACTTTCAAGGACTGCTAGCTACAATAACATGAAGATTTTTTGGGGGGTTGGTTTGATTGGTCTTCTGTTGGTTTTTGTTTCCTGTACTCTGACCAAGGAAACTTTCTCAATTCTTCACTCTCTCTCTTCCTTTACTCTTATTACCTTATTTCACTTGTAAATTAACTCACTTGTAAAAGCTCACTTAAAAATTCACTTTAAAATACAACCTTAAGCACACACAAAATATAGTTTAAAAAAAAAACAACTTCAAAGGGCTGGGATGTAGCTCAGTGATAAAACACTTGCCTAGCAAGAGCCATGTCCTGGGTTCAATCCTCAAACAAAACCCCACAAAAACCAGTTTTTAAAAAAAACCAACAATCTCAAAAACACATATTTTAAAAGAAACATTCATGCCACTACTATACACTTATGGCTTGAATCTGGTCATGTTTTTCCTCAACAATATTACTACTTCATCTACAATAAAGTCAGCCTCTAATTCTGACATAAGAAAACTCTACCTGGGCACTTCCAGGGTCATGGCACCCATGTAAAAGAACCCCACAGTGTGCCCTGTTTGTCAGGAGCACACAGTGAGGCTGTGTAGAGGGAAATAAGTTGACGGGAGAGCTTCCCCTGGGGGGTCCACCCAGCAGGCACCCAGCAGGAAGTCTGGGGATCCAGACGAGGAAGGCGAAGACCTTCCCTACCTTTGGTGTCTTCATCCTCAATGGTAGTGTTAGTGCTCTCTGAAGATTCCTGCCAAAGAGAAGCGGACAGTGGTGAGGCGCGTGGGCAAGTGGGGCAGGGCAAGGCCCATCAGGGTGCCCCAGCTGCCCGATGGGATGCGCCATCCACGTCTGCACGCCTAGCAGGCTCTGCCGTCCAGATGCTTCCTGCAAACCCTGCCAGACCTTCCAGCCTGAGGGGGCCAGCAAAGCCAGTGGCTGGGGTGGGGGTGGAGATTCCTGGCCTTTCTGGGAGGGCTGAGAGGGGGTACTTGGTTTTTGTTTTTCCCCATTCAAGGGGCAAGGAGGGGATGTGGAGGAGCCGAGAGACACCATGGTGGCCACAGAATGGGGGAAGGAATACACACACTGGCAGAGAGGAAGACAGAGAGCGGGGGGTCCAGTGTGAGAGAGGGTGGGCTTTTCAGAGGGGAGGAAATCCACACAACGGATTCAGACAGCCATAGAGTCAGAAGAACAGGGACATGGACCACTGGGCCACCCGTGGCACCCTAGACAGAGGTAGGGCACGGCTCCTCTTCCAGGGTGGTCTGCACAATGAAAGAAGGGAGGCCTGGGTGGCACATGCTGCTTTGGCCAAACCAAGCCCCACGCTGGGCACAATCAGCACAAACCAAGCCCTAATGAGCCCTAGAGCAGAGGGCAGGGGAGAAGCAAGAGGCCAGAGGCTGGACGTGGGGTCGGACTCAAGTGCACCTTCAGACCTGAGGGAAACATCAGCTGTCACCTTGCTGCTCTGGGCTGTAGAGTTAGAGGTGTCAACAGAAACACACCAACAACACACACACACACACACACACACACAACACACACATGTTGTCACACAAGGCACACGTACCAAGCACTCCCTGAACACACTCTCCCCGCCCCAGGTTCCCATGCCACCTGCAAGAGGGAGGCAGGAGCGAGGGAGCAGGGGCCAAGGCCCAGGGGCCGAAGCCCAGCATTTACCGGCGTGTGGGAGACGGCAGACACTCACCATTAACTGAACGCTGGAACTGGACTTTCTTTTCTGGAAAAACAAGGAGAAGAGATGGGACAGGAAAAGACACAGCGTGAAAACGGCAGGGAGCAGAGGAACGACAGCAGGGAGGTTTGGAAGGAGGATGGGCCTCGGGGTCATCCTTGGTGGTCCTTGGCCATCCACAGAAGGAGTCAGGGCCACCAGCCACAGCCGGCCTGGCAGGACCAGGCCTCAACTTCTGCCTTCTTATGTACAGCTACCTGAGCCTGCTGCTCTAATGGTCAAGTTCAAGGCCAGCCTTGCCTTGGCTCAGGGATGCCCACCACACCTCATTCAGTGGAGGAGATGGTTCTGGCGCTTGGATGCCAGCTGCCCGAGGCCTCTAGAATCCAATGCTCTGAGGAATAAAAGGGTGTCAGGTCTGAAGGTGAGGCCAAATGCCTCATTCTAGGCTCCCCAGGAATCCTGCTGACCGGACCCTACTCCTCAGTGAGTATGGTGATCATTTGGGAAACTTGTTGTTCTTTGTTAGTTTTGTTTTGCCTCTGTGTGTGGTGCTGGAGATGGAACCCAGGGCCTTGCACATGCTAGGCAAGCTCTCTACCCCTGAGCTGCATCCCAGCCTTAGGCAGCTTGTCAAAAATGTACAGGCCCAGGTCTCCTCAGAGAAACCCTGTGTCTGAGGTGGGAGCTAGGCACCTCCACTTTCAACATTACCCTCTACTCCAGGGGGTATCAGGGTGTCCTCTCAGTGGCCTTCTTCATAGAGACCATCCTACTTGGCTCCTTTATACTGATAGAGAAACTGAGGCACGGCCAGACGTAAGGCTGAGTTCAGACACTGAGTCTTGTGGCCCTGCCCATTGGCCTATTCTAGCATCCTCTGAACTTGCTGTGCAGCCAGAAGGGTAGAGGACAAATGTAGACTGCCTTCTCCTTCTACACAGCACTCAGAGTGCACAGTCTTTTTTGTTTTATCCAGCACTAAGGTTTACACTTGGGGGCAGAGGGCTCTCTCTTAGTTTTCTTTCACAAGGCTGTACCTCTTGAGCCACATCTCTACTTTCTGGCTTTTAACTGGATATAAGACTCTCTCTGATGTGTCTGCCGGGGCTGTCTTTGAATCAAGATTCTAACATCTGTTTCATTACTAGCTAGGATTAAAGGCATGAGCCACTGGAGCCTGGCTTAGTACTCAAGAGTCTTGAAGACTCACACTCACTGAGGACTGCAGCTTGAGAATGGTGCATTGGGAAATGAGAAACTGAGGCCCAGAGACAGCTAGCAGCCTGCCCTGGCTCTCACAGCAAGCCAAGGTTATCACTGAGTCTTGCAGAAAGCCCTGAGTGCAGGATTCTCTCTGCCTGGGTCTGATCCTTCTTCAAAGGCTTGTTCTCTCCTGCATGCCCCTATATCTGAGAGGCCAGGATACTTCTGGGGGCTACTTCATGGGGTGGGGTGGGGTAAAGACTTGAGCTGCCCCTGGGTAGGCCTGTGCCCTTGGAAGCACTACATAGTCTTTGAGGGTCTCAGGTCTAATTCTGGGCTTTCTAATTCCATAATGTAATGAGCCTCTGTGTACTCGACTAACTCCGTGTCCTCTGTCCATGGCCTGTATGGGTATGGCCGCACCTCTTACCAGGCAGTGCTATACCCCTGTGCTCATAGGGAACATGAGCACCCAGGCCCTACATCTTCCTGGCTGACTAGGCCACATGACTTCATAACTAATAGCTAGCCTAGTCCCTCCTCTCCCTTCTCCTCTCCCCTCTTCTCTTCTCCTCCCTGGTTGGAGTTGAGCCAGGCTCTGGGTGCTGGGAAAGGGGGCCAGGCCACTGAGCTCAGCTGTCAGCAGAAACCTGAGGAGCCACACGGGGGCCAGGAAGTTCCAGGCGGGACACGAAGAGGAAACACAGAGCAGAGACTGCATCAGATCTGGACGCACAGTGACAGGATGGGACATGGGGAGAGAGGTCACGACGGCACGGATGGGACATCAACAGGGGCAGTGAGTGGGGTAAGGGGTGGGAGCGGTGGGCCCCTCCTTGTAGAAGCCACAGCCAATGGAGGCCAGGCCAGGGCTTTGCTTCTGAACCTCTGACAATTCCACCTCCTCTGCATTTGGGAGTTTCATTGGAGGAGTGACTTCTCTAGAACCCCATGCAGACGTGGGGTTCGAAGGTGTGCAAGGATGGTTAAACCTGGGTGTGGGCACCATCAGCCTTGGAAAGTCATTGAAGGTCTGTGAAGCACAGGGGAGTCCCCTCTGTAACTCCACCCAATAACGAGGCAACCACGCTATCCCACAAAGATCGATGGCTTGTCTCTGAGGACTGGGTTGTTGAAAGAGCACCAATTTTCCCTTCAGCTCTGTGTGAGTGAATGTGTGTGTGTGTGTGTGTGTGTGTGTGTGTGTGTGTGT